TGGTATAAACATGGCTGAGATTTCTCTAACTTTTAGTGGGAAAATCAATAATTTCAATCAGTTTCTGCATTTAAATGGGTTTTTGATTACATTTATAGCGAGAAGTGTAGGGTTTATTTACATAATATTTACTTAGTGAACATACATAATCACCCGCTTGCTAGTTTTTGCTACGTTTTTCGGATCTCGTCAGGATTATGTGAAATTGCAACGTTTTGGCTGCTAGCCATCGCCTAGCATTTAGCTGCCGCCCCGATTCAACATTGAATTCTTTGTGATTTAACTCCATCTGACGGATCAAACCCTCGCCACTGCGTGCGTTGCGTCTGAGGTTGATTTTCAGATCAATGCATTACGTCGTGGCATACGGGGGAAACTAATTAAACTAGTTAAAAAAAGGATCATGGGTTAAGATCGGATGTGTTTAATTTGGAAATCTACCGGATCCTTTGTGCATTTCACTTCCTGTTTGGTGCGATCTCATTGATGGGTTTTGACCAAAGAGGAACTAAAAAAAAAAATAAAAAACAATTTAAATACACAACCAGCATATCTGGAATCAATGACAGAGAGCATACATAATCACCCGCTTGCTAGTTTTTGCTACGGTTTTTCGGATCTCGTCAGGATTATGTGAAATTGCAACGTTTTGGCTGCTAGCCATCGCCTAGCATTTAGCTGCCGCCCCGATTCAACATTGAATTCTTTGTGATTTAACTCCATCTGACGGATCAAACCCTCGCCACTGCGGCGTTGCGTCTGAGGTTGATTTTCAGATCAATGCATTACGTCGTGGCATACGGGGGAAACTAATTAAACTAGTTAAAAAAAGGATCATGGGTTAAGATCGGATGTGTTTTATTTGGAAATCTACCGGATCCTTTGTGCAATTAACTTCCTGTTTGGTGCGATCTCATTGATGGGTTTTGACCAGATTTTGACCAAAGAGGAACTAAAAAAAAAAAAAAAAACAATTTAAATACACAACCAGCATATCTGGAATCAGTGTCAGAGAGCGACTGGGACCAGAAGTTTATTAATTTCTCCCCACTGATTTCCATTCAAAATGTTTTCGATCCCACCGGGCTCTAGGGAAGGGGCGTGCATACCGCCACCTACTGTTCATGAGTGTGTAGCAAAATTGTTTTACATCTATTAAATTCTATTTTTTAATTTTGTATTCTGAAGATAAATAAATAATGCTTTCCTTAATCTATAAATATCTTTTATATTTCCTTTATTTCCCAATAATCCTTTAAGACTCCATTCTTGGCCTGTCCTCTTTTCAATTTCTTCCTTTCAGGTTCATATGTTTTGCAGTTCATCAATACATCTGCATTTTCTATCTCTCCACATCCTTCACATTTATCATTATTTTTCCTCCCTATTAAGTATAAATTGTCATTTAAATAAGTATGACCTACTCTTAATCTGATCATTATTATTTCTTCCCTTCGGTTTCTCTCATTAATATTTCTATTTAATACTGACTTTTGTACTTTATATAACCTTCTTCCTTTTTATCTTCATTCCACCTTTTTTTTTTTGCCATTTTTCAATTTCTTTCCTCTTAATAAATGATTTTCCTTCCCATTTCCCTAAAGGAATTGTAATTGTTATTTGTCTACTTTTCATTCCAGCTAACTTTCCATTAATTAGCTTGAAAACAGCACTTTGTAGGCACCCAGTTTCTCTAACAATGGCCCTTTTTGGGTTACCCTCCATGCATTGGGTGTCAGTTCAGTGGCAGTTCCAGAACATTTTCATAGGGTTGACCAGGCAGCACAATAATGTGCATGTGGCCAAAAAGTAATAGGGATCAAATTCGGTTCAGAGTCAAGCTATTGGGATCAGGCATCAGGTTCAATTTGCATATTTTCTTAGCCAAAACAAGGATTTGTTGGGCTACTGTAATTTTGAATTGAAAAACGTCCTGAATGGGAAGTCTTCAAACTTGAAAAACAAAGTCCAAAGTTTTTTTTTTTTTTTTGGAATGATTATGACCTGGATGTCTAAGAATCTTCACCAGCTTATCAGGGAAATGAATGCCCCTAATGTCTATATTCTCCAAAAGAGAATAACAGAACAGACCTTCATGAGGCCCTTGTTAAAGCTATGCACATATTTATGCATCTATGCTCTTCAAATAACTTTCTGGTTCGACGCAACATTTACATTAAATGGGTTGAGAGGTTGTTCTTTACCAGTAAATACATAAAAGATTCCCAGATGACTGCCGATACAAACTCTCCCCTATAAAACCTGAAACTAATTCTTATAAGAGAGTAAAATCTGTATTAGTCTTCATTAAATGTAGCATATTGTTGTAAATAATCGATTGCTTTATTTTTGGTGTCAGCTTTTGGTCAATATGCTAACCTTAAAAGGTCAAAGTGGGAAAATGTAGTAGTAGTAGACAAATTAGCAATTAGAGGAGGCAATAACAATTACAATTTCTTTAGGGAAAGGAAAATCATTTATTAAGAGGAAAGAAATTGAAAAATGGCAAAAAAAGGTGGAATGAAGATAAAAAGGAAGAAGGTTATATAAAGTACAAAAGTCAGTATTAAATAGAAATATTAATGAGAGAAACCGAAGGGAAGAAATAATAATGATCAGATTAAGAGTAGGTCATACTTATTTAAATGACAATTTATACTTAATAGGGAGGAAAAATAATGATAAATGTGAAAGATGTGGAGAGATAGAAAATATAGAACACGTATTGATGAACTTTAAAACATCTTGACCTGAAAGGAAGAAATTGAAAAGAGGACAGGCCAAGAATGGAGTCTTAAAGGATTATTGGGAAATAAAGGAAATATAAAAGATATTTATAGATTAAGGAAAGCATTATTTATTTATCTTCAGAATACAAAATTAAAAAATAGAATTTAATAGATGTAAAACAATGTTGCTACACACTCATGAACAGTAGGTGGCGGTATGCACGCCCCTTCCCTAGAGCCCGGTGGGATAGAAAACATTTTGAATGGAAATCAGTGGGGAGAAATTAATAAACTTCTGGTCCCAGTCGCTCTCTGTCACTGATTCCAGATATGCTGGTTGTGTATTCAAATTGTTTTTTGTTTTTTTTTTAGTTCCTCTTTGGTCAAAATCTGGTCAAAACCCATCAATGAGATCGCACCAAACAGGAAGTTAATTGCACAAAGGATCCGGTAGATTTCCAAATAAAACACATCCGATCTTAACCCATGATCCTTTTTTTTAACTAGTTTAATTAGTTTCTCCCGTATGCCACGACGTAATGCATTGATCTGAAAATCAACCTCAGACGCAACGCCGCAGTGGCGAGGGTTTGATCCGTCAGATGGAGTTAAATCACAAAGAATTCAATGTTGAATCGGGGCGGCAGCTAAATGCTAGGCGATGGCTAGCAGCCAAAACGTTGCAATTTCACATAATCCTGACGAGATCCGAAAAACGTAGCAAAAACTAGCAAGCGGGTGATTATGTATGCTCTCTGTCATTGATTCCAGATATGCTGGTTGTGTATTTAAATTGTTTTTTATTATTTTTTTTTTTTAGTTCCTCTTTGGTCAAAACCCATCAATGAGATCGCACCAAACAGGAAGTGAAATGCACAAAGGATCCGGTAGATTTCCAAATTAAACACATCCGATCTTAACCCATGATCCTTTTTTTAACTAGTTTAATTAGTTTCTCCCGTATGCCACGACGTAATGCATTGATCTGAAAATCAACCTCAGACGCAACGCACGCAGTGGTGAGGGTTTGATCCGTCAGATGGAGTTAAATCACAAAGAATTCAATGTTGAATCGGGGCGGCAGCTAAATGCTAGGCGATGGCTAGCAGCCAAAACGTTGCAATTCACATAATCCTGACGAGATCCGAAAAACGTAGCAAAAACTAGCAAGCGGGTGATTATGTATGTTCACTAAGTAAATATTATGTAAATAAACCCTACACTTCTCGCTATAAATGTGATCAAAACCCATTTAAATGCAGAAACTGATTGAAATTATTGATTTTCCCACTAAAAGTTAGAGAAATCTCAGCCATGTTTATACCAAAATGTTACAGTTTCACATTATCTTGAAAAATCTTTGCAAGAAACGAACAAGCAAGTGAATATGTACATTCCCTGAGTAAATATTCTGGTAACAAACTATACATTTCTCACTAGAAATATAATCAAAACTCATTTTAATGCAAAAACAAACTCAAGTCATTAATCTTTCCACAAAAAAATGAGCGAATGTCGGCCATATATTTATTTTTTTTCTTCTCCCAGCTGGAATCTTGAAAGTCACGTGACTAGGACGTAAAACAATAGAAAGCGTATAGGCAGAAGAAACGTAACAGTACCACAAAAAAATGGCCATTAATGTACCTCCACTACGTTTTGCAGTGTGGACCAACGTAGTGGGGGTACATTTTCCCATGAGACTGGGTTGGGAAATGATGAGGTCATTATAAGATTTAAACTGTGGCGTGGGAGAGGGAACTGGAGGCTGAAGCCTCCTCACTTTGTTTGACTGTTGGAGGCTCCAGCTCATCTGCTGATCTAAAGTTTATTTAAACCTGACTGTTGTTTTTATATTCAGTCCTTTACCCCCAAAACAGTTTAATCCTTTTAATTTTCCAACACCAGTTCAAACTTCTGTTTTTTTGTGTTTTGAAGCTGATAATGTTTTACATGTTATTTCCACAGAGGATGAGTTTTTTTTTTTTCTGGGGGGGGGGGGGGGGGGGGGGGGGGGGGGGGGTCGTCCTTATGGGAGAAGTCAGATGATTTATCAGAGCCTGAGAAAGTTCCTTCTTTGTTCCAGCTGTGTGTTGCATCACTGCGAGGACGAGGCTGTTTTTGAGCACAGCTGTGTTGCACGATTGTTTCACAAGCACAGGTTTACATTGTTCATCTCGTTAGGAAATGGGCATGTAGATTTGTGAGTTTGTTGCTTTCTTTTACCACTGATAAGCTAATAAGTTTCTCCTTTTTTTCTTTTGCCTACAGATAGCCTGTCCTCCCTGATCTGCTGCAGAAAGTGTGAGCAGGAACAGAGTGGCTGCCGTTTGCTGTTCAGTGTTGCCTAGCAAGCTTTAGCCGCCATGGCTGTGTCATTTAAGAAGGACCTTAACAAGTACAAGGATATCGATGAAGATGAAATCCTCAGCAAGCTGTCGGAGGAGGAGCTCAAGCAGCTGGAGACGGTCCTCGAGGAGGTGGATCCTGAGGTCAGGGTCCCGTGAGGGCAGGGGGGGGCTCTTCAGTGGGAAAGGGGTGTCTGTGGGACAGGAATTGATTAAAATGACAGATTTATTTATTTTCCAAAGTAGAGAGTCCTTTTTCAAGTTATTGTCATTTCTTGTTGATTCTCCTTAAATGCCTTTGAACATGAATCACTAACTTTTCTGCCCAGATCCCAAAAATAACAGTGCCGCATACCTATGTATTTCAGTAAACATTTATGTCCCAGCTTTAGAATCACACTTTCTCACATTTTTGGGTTATTTCTTTTCTTTGTAGTCCCATACTCCTCTCTAAAGCTTTTGTGATGAAAAGAAAAAAAAAATCTGCAGCACCCTTATCTAAGATGTTGTAGTAGTTTAAGAAATATTACTAAAGAGATAACAAAATGGCTCTACAGCAGAATAATGCTTTATTTAAAGCTTTCATCTCAGGACAAATGACTGAGTGCTTCCTGTTGGTCTAGTTAAACGGGGGTGGGGGGTAGCTCCTTGCTCTCTTGCATTTAAGGAAATAGTAAAATAATCTTCCTAGTAAAGGAAGCATTGTATTTAATTTGATGCTAACAGGCTTGACAAACGTTTTACATGCATTCTTCTTCAGAGTTTCTGTTTTTCATTCCTATGAATCTTTTATCTAAGCCTTTCTGTTCCCGGTGAACTGGTTTACGGCTCCATTTTTCGAGGAGCTTGTCGTCTAATTGCTATTTATAAACTCACATTTTAACATTCGCTCATAGCCTCTGGCAGGAATTTGCTAAAGGAAATTCTATTTGGTTGCATATTATACTGGGATTCCTCTCCTGTATTATCAAAAATAATGATATATTTTCAAAGGGCTGTTACTGTTGTAATGGAGAATCCTTTCAATATATTTCTAGAACAGTCCTAAAGAAACTTAATACAGAAAATTGTATTGTAAAACCATCCATTTCTTTGTTTTTCTTTGTATAAGTGAGTTTTTCTCCCTTATATGCAAGAATAAAATGTTTTTTTTTAGAAACAATAAGAAGTATAAACATGATCAAGGCACGTGGCATCAATGCTCCCTTTGTCCTCCCTCTGCAGAACGCTCTTCTTCCAGCCGGTTTACGGCAGAAAGATCAGACCAATAAGACGGCAACTGGAACCTTCGACAGGGAGCGGCTGCTCAAATACCTGGAGAAGGAAGCCATGGAGTACAAGGACAGAGATGATATTGTGCCCTTCACTGGGGAGAGAAAAGGTGCGTGTCAGAGTTGTATTTAAGGCTCTCCTATAAGTTTTACTTGATTTTGTTCTAAATTGTTAAACAATGCTGTAAATCTGTTTTCCTTTTGTACAAGAAAAGAAAAGTAAAACAGATTTTGTTTGATGGGATTGAACTTCTAACTCCAAACTTTTTAGACCGTATGCGTGCACGTTTCAAGAGTTGAAAAATATAAACTAAGCAAAACATATCACCAGATCAGTGCATCATTTCCACGCTGGTGGTACAAAAAACTCAAGTCTGCTGTTGTACCCCAAACACTGGTTTCAGCTCATCCATTAAAGTAAATTAGATAAGCATTATCACAAACATTGGATGCTGGTCATTGATAAATCATTTAGGAAAAAAGTTACTAGATTTTTAACTTAGGAGATTTTTTTCACAACTGTTTGGTAATGTTATAGAGAAACTTAATAAGATATATGTTGTTTTAATGGCATAGTCCAAACAGTCACTGTTGTTTTTCTCAGGTTCAGTTTTTCCTCTTGTCTAAACTCAGAGTTGGTTTGTTTTTATTGACTAAAAGATCATATGTTTATACTAAAGCTAAATCTGTAAGGATTTACCTAGAAGCAGATCTTGTTGAACTCGATTCATACATTTTTTAAAGTGTTTGTTTTTTGTTAATATATTTTGAGCCATGATGTCATCTTTTTGATAATGAAGTAGTAACTAGATGTTAACACAACAAAAGTTTGCAACAATGATGCTTTAGAGATTTTTGTGCCTTCTTTTGAATAAATACACCTGAGGAAGAAGAGGTTAGTCACTGTCTGATGCTAATAACCATCATTTAAAACCAACACAGCAGTAATTATAGCTCCACCGTTCTTTTGCACGTACTATTAATGCATGTTTGCTCTTATATATTATAAGGTTATGGGACTCAGATGAACCATGTTTAACATGTTTTTTAGTACTGGTAGCCAGTAAGTGTTTGTCAAAAGTCACACTGCTACTTTATTTTATTGTTTTAGACAAATTCAGGAGAAACAAACTGACTGAAAGCGTTTTAGCAGCCCGACTGTATTTGTTTTACTGTATTTTATGCCATTCAGCTTCATTTCTATGGTTGTACGGTTTGGCAGCTGAAAGATATCCTTGATGGCATGCCAGCAATGATTGCAGTTCAGGGGAAATATCCTGTTTTTCTCTTGTCTTTTATAATGAGTTCACTACAGGGAAAACTTCAGCAGTATAATACTGGCTGTTAAGTTAGTTTTAAATTAGAGCTGCACTAAATGCTGAATCAGAGTTCTCAGAGTGGGACATCAGAGGGACCGTTTGGACTAAATTTGACTGGGATTTAACCTCCCTTCATGTCTATACTAATTGCAGTTCCTTAATGTTCGACATGCTATAGCTAATAGAGAAATGTGGAAACATGCATAAAAAGCCTGTAAAATTAGAGCTACGTTTAAACCATTTATTTATTTACCAACTTTTTATTCCTTCGGTATGTACGGGAAATATCGATGTTTTGGTGGCACATTTATCTGGATAGTTTTATGTTTGTGTGCAAAGCTGTAATTCTAGGAGGCTTGTCTTATATATGAGCTATGTCAGCTAATACAGTGTGTAATATCAGATATAAAAAGCATTGCAGTTCTTCCCGTCAGTTCTGAAGCTTGTTGGGAAAAGCACAAAGGCGAAACACAATGGATGCTGTAATAAAATGCATTCTACGTGACGCATGCAAAGGCTTAAGTTTCCATCAAAATCTGTAACTGTCAACTATTTTTGGAAGGGGTTTCATCTTTTCCCTCAGAAGCAGTTTCTTAAATCAAGTATTTATGCCTATTTGAATTAAAGTAAATCCTAAAAGGTTTTCAAAGTTCTTATTTTTGGTTTACTCATAACCAATTAAACAAAACTTAGCTGTTGGGGGGAAAAAAAATTACTTAAAAAAAATATCCAGTAAAACAATTGTAAACTGTATGGATTCGGGAAGCTATTTCCAAGCTGAAATCATTCCAACTATTCATGTTTTATCATCATTTCTATAGGCTGTGTCGTATTCTATCAGTCTTTAATAAAACAGGAATCTAGTGCTGCAACTAACGGTTATTTTGCTAATTGATTAATCTGTTGATTAGGGCTGCAACTAACGATTATTTTAAAAATCGATGAATCGGCCGATTATTTTTTCGATTAATCGATGAATCGGACACAAAATATTTTTTTATATTAACCTCTTTATTCCAAAATAAACATTTTAGACAGAACAAACAAGCAAACAAGTACAGGTTGCTCATTAACTGTACTGGTGCAATATGAAAAATAAATGTTTGTGTTAAAACTACGCAAACTTACATGAGAAATGTAGCTGTACATCCACAAAATATAGGCTACTTTGTTTCATAAAGCGCAAAAAGAGACATTTTTGTTTTTTAAAGCCCCTAAGGGGTTCAAACAATAGGCCCCCCCATTTCAACAAATGAGTTTTTTTTAGACTAGAAGAGTTCTGCCTTTTAAGACAGGAAAGTATAGCAGTTAAAGTTGCTACTTGAGAAAATACTGAACCATAGAGATAAAAATAGCCCTGTGATTCAAATTATAAATTGTATTTGGAATAAAAATGAGAGAACTAGGGGTGCTAAAAAACACATCCTCCAAAGACAGATATTTACATGGGAATGTGGCAGATAATTAATTGACATATTACTGATCTTGCTGGATTTTATTCTGCTTTACTTCCATAAATTGCAGGATCTTCTTTACTTTATCTTTGCCAGAAGATTTAAACTTTAAAAGCCTTGCCCTCATAATTTGCAAGTTAATTTATTTATAAAGAAAATATAAACGCTGCTTAAGCTAATTCAAATGAAATTAAAAGTAAAATAAGTAGCCAACCTTATCACTGTCTGTAACCTACTAACACGGTAAGGAAAGCATCAGATGAGCTACCTGAGAAACTAACTTACGTTTCCCCACTTTAAAACCAAACAAACATGGTTACTCATCCTGCTGATCAGCTCTCTTCACTGCCATCAAAGGCTCCAACTTGTTTTCTTTTCCGGTGCGGCGTCATAACAGTGGTGCTTCCGTGCCATGTTCATTTGTTTTTACAAAAGTTGCATGTTACGACTTTTTTCACTTTACAAAGCGCAGGCTATTTTAATTATTGTGATCAATTTGCGCCGTCAATCCCGGGGCATGCGCGCTTCATTTGCAGTCTGGGCGCTGAGGGTAAACTCCTCACTAAAATCCTGCGGCTCTGACTGCAGCGCTGAGAGGGATTCCTGTGGGAGAGGGAGAAAGGGGTTGGGATGGGGGAGGCGCCCCACGGCAGCAGCTGCCGCTGGAGGACAAGAGTAGGAACGATACATGCTTTCACGTAAGAGTCTCCAAAAGCCGCCAGTGACACCGTAAAAAGTCGCCAGATTTGTCGCTAGTCGCTTTTTTGAAAAATTGTCGCTGGAGGGGTCTGAAAAGTCGCTGAGTTGGCAACACTGCACCTGCGGCGCTGACTCGCTCCGCCATATTTGTTTTTCTTCCCCGGGATGACGGCGGCGGCGGATGACGCATTATTCGCGCGACACAACTAATCGATGATTAAATTCGTTGCCAACGCTTTTAAAAGTAGATTTTTATCGATTTTATCGATTCGTTGTTGCAGCCCTACTGTTGATTATTTTTTTAGATTAATAATCTGATAGCAAAAGCTTCCTTAGAGAAGATTTTTTATTAAAAAAAAAACTAAAACGTTTCCACACGTGGAGTTCTGGATAGAGCTTATTGACAGACAAAAAATTTATTTTTTTATCTTAAATGCAAAAAAATTATATACATTTATTTTTACAATTTTGGTATAAATACTGCTCTAAGTATGTTGCTCTGTCGGCTACAGTCATGTTTTAGAGTCTCTATACTCCAGTAAATGATTAGTTACTATTATTAGTTATGATTAATCTGATTAATTGTTTCAGCCCAACAGGAATCCCCAGCCCACTGGGTGATTTGTGACTTTTGTCTCATTAGATTTAATAGGTTTAGGAAGGACGTTTCTCTAGCTGCAGAACCAGATTAACTGCTGTAAAAACTGAAAGTACAGCCTAATTCTTTCAAAACATCTTATGGGATTTATGGTTATTATAACCACTTTTTAGATGCCTTCTATACAATGACAAACAAATACAAAGAGAACTACAGGAGTAACAATGCTTTATGGAAAGTCTCCTACACTTTCAGTAGATTCAAATCTACCCTCTCTGCAGAGGAAACATGGAGCTGACATATTTCCCTGATATAACCACAGAGAGTCAGGAAATAAACTCTTTCTGTGTGCATGTGCGCAATTGCTCCATATGACAGCATGGAAAGCTAAGATCATTGTTGGCTGGTGGTTCTGTGGAATGCAGTGAGTTCCCTCCCCCTTGTTAAATTCCCCCCCTGCTGATATTAAATGTGATTTTGAGGGTCTGAAAGCTCAAGATTTAATAAGGTGAATAATGTGGGTGGAAAACAGCTAAATTCACATACCATAGAAACTACATCAGGTCTTAATTACTTGATTCCAATGTGCTTCTATGTGCTTATTATTTGTTCTTTCAGTTGCTTTAGAGTTTATTCAAGGCGTCTTGGCCTCATTAACTCATGCTGTGGTCAGTGAAGCTGAGAATCTGTGTTAAAATAAAAGAGTGGTTATTTTTTTTTAACTTTATATCAGATATTGTGGAAATGTGTTTATTTTTTATATATTACCCTAAGTCTTTTGACCCGATCTACTAAGTGGAGTCAATAAATAGCATTTTAGCCAAAACACAACTCAGTTCATCTCTCTTGGATACAACCATCTTATGTATTTAGCTACAAGGAATGCTAACCTGTGCAGAAATGCCTGATTATGCATTTTTAAGCTCTATAAAAGGAGCAACACTATTCTGTGCATCGTGAAGTTCAGGTTTGTGTTTGTGTTGGCAAAGAAAAACCTGTAAAGCTTTAAGTCTGTTTTACAGAGGAGTCTCTTTATCTTTTGTTGGGGATCTCAGAACCAGCAGGATAAATATTGTTTGACAGTTGATCCTAAAACAGCCGAGCAAAGCAGAAATGACTGTATATAAGGGGATTACAATCTAGTGGATCCACAGTTTGTTTTCCTGTTCCTTCATCCTTCAGTCAGTACTCTTCTGGTCCAGTTATGTGATATTCTTTGTTATTATCCATTTAGCTATGGATTGTAATGATCACACAGATTGGGAATAGTTAAGTTGGTCCCTGTCTTTTGTCCCCTTCTCCGGGTTAAATGCTGCCACAGAGGGATTGGCTCTCAGTGCTGCCTAATGACTGTATTTACTGTTTACTTGCTTTCAGGAAGTGCCAGAGCCCCCACAGGGGAGCAGTTTAAACAGTCTGTGTGACTCGAATGACTTTGAAGGAAGAGAAAGACTGAGGGCCCGTTGTTGGAGCTGTTTTGTCAAAGGGAGCTGGCATATGGAGAGAGAGCAGGGAGCTCTCTGTCAGCCTTACATGCTTGTTGCCTCAGCAGTGCACTTTAGATTAGACTCCAGCTTTTGTTGCATGACTTCCTTTGGCGTGTTGGTTTCATTCCTCAGATAGGTTGCCAAGGAAGTACAGTCAGAAAGTTATTGCTCCGTTGCACATAGCTTAGTTTGGCTCACCTGCTGTTTGTTGGATGTTATGTGAAAATTTATGCTTTTTAGGGGAATGCCTTTTCTTTACCTGGCAGTAATTAGATTTCTTAAAGCTGCTCTTATAAGTAAATAATACAGAAAATAATAAAGTATAGTAATTTTCTTTTTTTTACTCTGTTGATGAAACTGGGAAGTGGTAGCCAGATTCATATGTATGGCTGTGTTAGCATAATTTTGTAGCATAAATCTGTCTGCTGACATTCAAATAATGGAGGTATATGGTGCCCGAGACAGAAAGGTCCACAAAAAACGTGTCAATATTCCTCCATACTGCTCGTCCAATGTATTCCAAGTGTCCTGAGTGGGTAGCATCCAGAATTTACTCGAAACGAAGTCATTTAGAATGTTTTTAGAGAATAAACAGTAGTGTATAGGATTTCCTGAAAGCGCGCCTGCACGTTCACGACGCTACGGAAGCCGGCAGACCAAACCAGATGAAAGTGCGCATTCAGTGTCTGCTCTGCTGATAATGCAAGCGTAGAAGAAGAAATGTGCTGTTTACCTGTGCAAAGAAAGAAACAACGAAAGAAAAATGTCTGAGGACTTCAGTGTTGAGGAAGAGCATGAGTTCTTTGCCGAGCTGAATGCGCTGGTTTGGTCTGCCGGCTTCCGTAGCGTCGTGGACGCGCATGTGCGCGCTTTCAGGAAATCCTATACACTACTGTTTATGCTCTAAAAACATTCTAAATGACTTCGTTTCGAGTAAATTCTGGATGCTACCCACTCAGGACACTTGGAATACATTGGACGAGCAGTATGGAGGAATATTGAAACGTTTTTGTGGACTTTTATGGACCTTTCTGTCTCGGGCACAATAGACCTCCATTATTTGAATGTCAGCAGACAGCAAGAAGCCTCCCAGATCTCCAGATGCATTTGAGATATCAAAAAAGTACTCCAGAGTGTTGTTCAGCATGGGGGTGAGTAGAAAATGAAGGCTAATCATGTTTTGGGTGTACTATTCCTTTAAGCCCTGAATGCTAGCCTAGTAAACTAGCCCCAACAGCCAGCGGCCCTAGAACTGGTGGGCCAATCACAATGCAGAGATGTGTTTTGGATTTCTGGATGCAAAGCAGACGGGGTTTCGAGGGCAGGACGACAAAGCTGCATAACGCTGGAGAAAGCACAACAAGGAAGATGGCAACAACTATTGAACAGTTCTCGTTTGACTCAGATTTGGAATCGGTTATGGAAGGATTAGACTTGGGGTTTCCCTTTTCATTTTACCGAGAGGCTGTTTGTTTACACTCCCCCACCAGCTTTCTGTCACGCATACTACGTCACAGTCAGTTGCGCTCATTGGACACAGTGTTGGCCAATAGGCACAGACAGCGGTTTGAAAAACGATTTGTTTTCATCAACCATCTTCCGATGTCTCATTCTTGTTATACTTAGTTTATAAATCACTGAATGGCTTAGCTCCAAAATACATCAGGCTTGTTGACACTTGATCAACCACCTGGACTTCTCAGGTCTCAAATCTACTGAATATTTAGAACCAGAACCAAAGGAGAAGCAGCATTCAGTTCTTACCCTCCATTAATCTAGAATAAACTCCCAGAAAATTGTAAAAGTGCTGAAACCCTCAGTTGCTTTAGATGGAGTTTAAAAACATATTATTTTAGAGAGGCCTTTGGCTGTGCTATCTAAACCTTTTTTTTGTTAAGTTTCCAGTCTAACTTTTATTCCATTTTAAGTCATTTTATCTATTTTGTAAATATAATAATCTAATTTGAATGATTTGCTTGTATTCTCTTTATTTTGTGTTGCCTCTATCCTACTTTTTGTTTGTTTTTGTTTTTCATCATGCACAGCTCTTTGATTCACTGAAATGTGCTTTATAAATAAACTTGCCTTGCCTTTTTTTTTTTATAGGTAAAGCTTTTATCCCGAAGCAGAAACCAAAAGAATCCTTCCAGGAAGTAGCCACGACCCTTGACCCAGAATTAGAAGAGGCGCTGTCCAGTGCCACAGATACAGAATTGTGTGACCTAGCAGGTAGGAAAACATTTCAACAAAGCATCATCTTATAGTGCTTTAAATCAGTATAACATTTGATGCTGTCACCTAACAACCACAGATGTTTATGTTTTTGGGTTTATTGAGTTTGATATGAAAGTTCAACACAAAGTTAAGGAAGGAAAATAATACATGATAATAAGTAATTATTTTAAAACAAAGAAATCTGATTTTCCATTTATTTATTTGTTATATTTATTCTGGTCACTTTAGTTTATTCTTTGTCAGTATTTAATAACATAACTCAGGTCTCTTAAGTTATTTTTCTTTAATACAATTCTGTTATGGTTAAAAAAAGTAGGTTAAATAAAGATTTAATTAGAAGTCTGTGTTTGTGTTCTTTATTATAATTAAATCATTTAGCAATATCATAAAATGTCCAGGCAGAGCTGCACATAAAATATGGTTTCAAATTTTTTCAATAATTATCGATATCGATCAATATGCATTTTTTTTTATCGGTAAGCTTTTTTTCTATATCGCCCAGCCCTAGGACAAGAGCTGAGAGCTGGAACTTTAAGGCCACGCCCATTACGTCACAGAAAGCTGCACATCATTTCTTTAATCAAACATAGTGGTGGCAGCATTATTTTGCTTAATGTTTTTTTTTTAACCCGGAGCAGAGAAACTGGTTAGAGTTGATGGGAAGATGAATGGAGTAACTTACAGAGCTCTAAAATACAAGCTGTCAGAGGCAGAACTAAAGGTGCAATGTGGTTAAAACCCCCCCCAAAAAAACTAAATGTTAGAGCGACCTAAATGATGTCAAGCCTTTTGGTCTCCAGATGTGGAAACATTTTCCTCCAGCTTTATTATTAGGAGCTATAGGATGTGTTTAAAGCATCATAAATACTCTTGCAGGGCACTGAAGCCCTTAACCACACAATGGAGAACATGCATATAGTCTACATCTGTCTGATCCCGGGATGGAAAAATACAAGCTGTTATTGTCCTCAGCCTTTCATAAGTGAGGTCTTTTATTCTGTTTGTTGATGGATGAGAGAAGAACAAAAAAGGGGCTGACTGCACAACACAACAACTCCCATACATAATGCTATGACGATTAGATTATCTTTAATCTATATAGATTACCTTTACACTGAAGTCCAGAATGTCTTCATGCAGGGTCATTTCTCACCAGTTTTTCTCCTTTGGTTTGCAGCTATTCTGGGCGTGCACACACTTGTCACCAGCAATCAGACGTATGATGGAACTGGAAGTAAAGAGGGATACAACGGTGAGTGCAGTGAGATTTTCCAACTCTTTTAAAAATACCCAGAAATTGTGGATACTGGAACTGCTGGGTCTGTTTCAGATGTGATCAAAGGCGAGAAGATGAACCCTGTGTTCGATGAGCCTCCCAACCCCACCAATGTAGAAGAAACCCTCCAGAGGATAAAAAACAATGACAGCTCCTTAACCGAGGTCAACCTTAACAACATCAAGGTACTCGGAGGTCAATTTCTCAGTTTTCACTCATTTTAGTTGAAATTTTCTCAATACAAGCTTTTTTTTTTCTTTCCCAGAACATTCCCATTCCCACACTGAAAGACTTCGCCAAAGCAATGGAGAAAAACACGCATGTCACAAAGTTCAGCCTGGCAGCGACACGGAGTAACGACCCAGTTGCTGTGGTGAGATGAGGTGGTTTGTGGGCTTTTAATGGTTCTGTCGACACATGGTAGCTGCATATTTACGCCTTTTTTTTCTCCCCCCTTTTCTGTCTCCTCCCAGGCATTCAGTGACATGCTGAGAGAAAACAAGACGCTGCGAAGTTTGAACCTGGAGTCGAATTTCATCACAGGAGCAGGAGTGCAGGCTTTGGTGGATGCATTGCTAGATAATGACACACTCACCGAGATCAAGATAGACAACCAGGTACTCTGCAAAAAATATAAATTTAACTAAGTCCCTTTTTCTTAAAATAAGTGCATTTTTTCTTCAACTGAGGGGGAAAGGAAGATACTATGCCAACGGAACCAGACAATTTACATTTAAAATAAGGAAAATCTATTGCATTGTCTTATTTCAATTGCATATTATCAAATTATTTTATTTTAAGAGCAAGAATACTCCTTCCATTGGCATATCTGCTTATTTACCTGCACAATTTAAGGGTAAATACACTTTATTTAAGTCATTTTTACTCATTTCTAAACCGTTTTTGCAGTGTAAATTAAATAAATGGTTATTTGCACTGGAAAAACGATTAGAAATAAGTAAAAATTTATTAAATTAAGTGTATTTACCCCTAATTTGATTAGGTAAGTGACAGTTTGTCAATGGAATGAGTATTTTTACGATTAAGATAAGATAATTAGATCATACGCACTTGAAATAAGACAAAACAATTGTGTTTTCTTATTTTAGGTGTAAATTGTCTCGTTCCATTGGCAAGATGTCTCTTTTACTTCCTCAATCTAAGAACAAATGCACTTATTTTAAGAAAAAAATTACTCGTATAGATTTCGATTTTTTACAGTGTGTGACACATGGGCTGGTCTGGAATTTCAGACAGTGCTGATCTGGTGGGACTTAGATAAACAATCATCTTTCACATTTACAAAAAGTAGTATCAGGGACAAACATCCAGTGAGTCCAGGGACTGGAATGACTGGTTTGAGTTGGAAAAGAAATGGCAGCAGTAGCTCTTGTAACCAACTAATCGAATCAAAGGCTACATTCACACAGAGGCCTGAAGTGACCCAAGTCCAATGCGACCCAGGCCACTTTACTATGTGGTCCTGAATCTGATCTTTTTAAATGGGACCTGTATGAGAACGGCCAGGTCACATTCGTCCGACCTGAACATCATTAATACTCAACAAAGGTCACTATTTTGTGTCTTTCTACGCTGATGCGGGAAGAAAGAAAAAACAATCATGGCGGACAATAATGCAGAGAGCAGTCCTTTTTTTATTATAATTTTTTTAACCATCTTGAAAAGCCTGAGTTTTTAAGGTTTTGAAAGATCGCTAGATGCGCTCCAGCACTACCATCCACGTTTACTTCCATAAACACAGAGCGCGCTTGTTTGTGATGTCATTGCGTCCTCTAATTGGCATGCAGGAAACTTTCATTGTAAGGATGCAGTTCACACAGGAGATCACATACAGTTTTCATATATTTGGAGATCTGAACTGCATCGCAAAAAAACAAAAATGGATTTCATAAAAAAATGTGAATTGAGCATTTAGGCCTGCAGTGTGACGTAGCCTAAATGTGTTTAAAACCATGAAACCCGAAAATGTACACTAGCTGCTGCTACTGTTGGTTAAGATAAGGAAAGACCCTGAAGGCCACAGTTTAACAATTTGTGGTTCAATAAAAAGGTTACATGGTGTTGCAGTTGCACTTTCAGGTCCAAACTTCTTCTCTGTGGCCATTATTCCTGAACCCTGTAAGGAGTTGTATAGAAGATGGTTGGCTCAATAATTCTTGGTATGTTCTGCATTAAAAACACTACAGCATGGATCCATCCTGACTGATGGTAGCGATGTTTATCCTTGGTACTTTTTTGGGATCATTCATCAATTTTTAAAGGAACAGATAAGAGCCTACCTGAGTTTTGTAAGTTACCAGCTCAGCTTTCTGTAAGGAAGATCTGAATGTAGTTCTTTATAAATATAATCCAACTTATTTGCCTTCTTTTTAGTATGTTATATTAAATTTACAGGTTTAATATGGTTTTTGTCATAAAATATTAATACAGGTTTTCTTTAACATTACTGGGTGCTTTATTCTGGTTTTTGTAAATGCACAAAATCTTGGTTATATTCTTACCTATAAATAAGTTTGTCTTTGCTCACAGTTGTGTGGACATCTATTTATTGTGCTCTGATGTTCTGACCTCGGTGTGATTGTGTTTTCCTCAGAGGCAGCAGCTAGGCACCACCACAGAGATGGAGATCGCTAAAATGTTGGAGAAGAACAACTGTATGGTGAAGTTCGGCTACCAGTTCACCCAGCAGGGACCTCGGGCCAGAGCTGCGGCAGCCATCACCAAGAACAACGACCTCGGTATGCTTCAGATACTGATTTTAATCAGGAAGTCATTAAAAAAAATAAAAAATCAGCTGGTATCTGTTAAAGTGGAAATGTCATAACGGGCTATTTTGGCTTCTGTCAACATCCTTTCTGTCTCCAGCAAACATCTGTCAACAGTGTCCTACTCTCCTCTTTCTTTTAGCTCCTCCCCCTGGCAGAACTGCCATTAAACAGGTCTGATGCATGGGTGTGTCAAGGGGTTGATAATAACAGTGACTTCTTTCACTGAATGATGCATTCACTGCATTAACAGTCTGATTACTGAGACTAAGTGATCTTGAAGAGTGACGACATCTCACTTCTGGTTTCCTGTACATGCTGACACGCTGTTGAAATAGTTTAAACTTTGACCACATAGTTGATGACTCACTTTTCCTTTTTAAGATTGACTAACAGACCTGTGGAGGTTAAAGACGACACAGCATGCTTACTATTATTTTGCTAAATAATGTTTTTTCTTTGTTTTTTTTTTTTAGTCCGCAGGAGGCGAGTGGAGAGGGACCAGTAGGGACAGCGCTTCCTTTCTCCGAGCCAATTCTCTTGTTCATCTCATCGCATGGATTAAGTTCAGCCGTTGCCCTGGTCTCATCTCACTGTGTGGATGTTCTAGTCCTGTGCCAAACTGTGGGGGCAAGGCATGCTCTACCTGAACAGTACATCAGAGAAGAAGAAGGGGAAATAACTGGAATCGCCCGCTCTCTTTCCACATGTTTCTTATGTTTGTTATTGTTGTAAATCTCATTAGTTTTTAAACGTGACATTTCAGCTGCTCTTATTTTGAGCCTTTATATGACCTGTCCCTCCTTTTTACATGTTTCTTTCTTTTATACGATGCTGTAAAACACGTGAAGCAGTCATGCGCAGCAGGGAGTAGTAACATTTGGAGAGGTGTGCCGTCCTTGATCAAAGCGTCATGTTGAAACAATGCGTGAAGTTCATGGTTAGCTCTGATGACTCCTGGCTCTAATGAAGCAGAAGCAGCATGAGGCAGCACAGACCCTGCCATTTGCAGGTGTTGTTTAATAAAAGCCTCTTGTAAAGCTGGCATGACCGGACCTGGTGTCAGTCTGAACTGAATAGACAGGATTATATGTTAAAGTCACACAGATAACCTGGGTTTATCCCCTGCTGTGAAATATATACTGTAATTATTGTTTGTTCTAATCAAACTAAAGTCCTTATTTTGATACAGTTGCTATTTTAATGTTATGTTGATCAAAAGAATAAAATTAGGATGAGAATGTTTAGGATCAATCTAAAGGGGGCCTTTTTTTGCAGAAAAGAGTAGAAAAATGTCGGTAATAAAGGTTTAGAAGCTCAGACATGCCAAAGACTAAAACTCACAGTAGATCACACGTTTTAACCCCACAGTGCGAATCTGAGGAACAACTACTACAACAACAACAAAAAATCTTGTTTAAAAAAAAAAAAATATTTGGAGGCTTTAAAATAAAAGGATGCTACTTCTGCTTCTATAACATGTTCATTCATAAAACAAGGGTTTTGTAAATTTGTCACAATTGCTTTAAGGTTCCAGCTGCTTGTATTTTTATTTTACTCTGCATCACAGTTTCTATTTTCAGTTGAAACTCTTGGCTTTCCCCCACACTGTTGCCACTTTAATGCTCATTCTCATGTTCAGGTGCATCAAATCGAACATCTGTTTGACTAACCTGCTTCAGATAGTTAACCAGGACTTAATTAGGAGTTACTTGAACCTTGTATATTCTGTTAATAGGAACAATATGCTGGCATGACGTCCTCACTTATGAACATCAATTTTCTGTTTACCAAAAAACTTCACATTCCATAAAAAAACATATTTTTACTGTTTTGTTTTCTCTGTATTTTTTTTATTTTTTATCCGAGCACTTTTTTCACCTCGACATCCGTTATTTCCTCCTAACATTACGTTTTTACATTCCTTTGTTCTCCAAGTCGTCTGTTGTTCTTTTTTTTTTTCCTCTTTTGCTCGGGCCTGTTGGTTGTTCCTGGATGCTAACATGCTTATCAACTGTAAAATACCATCTCAAAAAAAAAAGTATGCACACAGATACATTTGTGTATCACATAACCATTTTTTTTTTGTACCTGAACTCAACACCCAGATGTCAACACAAGGAATGTGTATTATAATATAAAGAAAACAGGTTAAAAAGCACTGCTGAATATAAAATATCCTCAACAATAAATGTTTATATATACATCTGATGTGCTTCTTTTCTTCTTTTAGACTTAAGATTTTACAAGTTCTTTTCCAATTGATACATAAATGTGTTTGTCAAGTTGTATATATATATATATATTTTTTTTTTTTTTGCTTAAGGAAACTACATAATTTGTTTTTAACTCAACAAATACCTTTTTTATGTGTTAACTAGAAAAAAGATAAGCAGATGACTGCCCTGGTTCATGTGTAAGCAGGGCTCAGCGGCCATACAGAGGAAGCTCCTTTCTGTTGCTTGCATAGAGGATTTTACTCTTGCAGTTATGACCCATATGTCATGCCCATTGGTGAGAGTTCAAAATGATAATCCAATAACGAGCTTTTAGCACAGATCACCGCCCAGCCAAGACTCTGGAACAGCGTCCATTACTCTAAATGACGCCTCCGTTTGTCAAGCCATCTAGCTTTCATTACTCTTAAACAAGATCCTGTAACGTGTCATTATTTTGGACATACTGAGCTAGAACTCGGGCTTTGTTAGCTGCCTCATGGCTGCTAAGTCACATTTAAATATGTTGTCTTTTCAATAATTATTTCCAGACCTTTCACAAGGAAAAATAGAAAGTACTCTATAATTTCATCCTTCAGAGGAGTGCAAAGTAAGTCCCATTTCAGTGGGAATTGTGGGGGAAATTCACACATAGTTTCCTTCATCTTAATTTGTGGTTATTTCAAAAGAAATTGTTATATTTTAGCTAAAGAAAGGTTTAAAACAACTTTTTCACACCAGTCTGTCCTTTCTAATTTCCTCCTTAAACATACTTGAACAGTCAGACTCTGTTAGTTTTATTTGATCAACCCTTATAAATTATTGACCACATGCAGAAGTCTGCTCAGCCTTTGTCATTTACAATGAGGTGTAAATGAAAGGCATAAACTTTTTCCGTACTTGCTTATTCTTTCAGAGTAACAGTTATGGTGTCCATTTTGAGACAGACTATTTGAAGGAGCAGGGACCCCCTGACATCCATTTTTTACTTCGGTGAAAAGAAGCTGAATTACCTGCAGAGCATAAATCCCTACAACAGGAGACCTGGTAAAAATCCATGCAGGAAGGATTTCACCATAGGATGGCAACATCTGCTCCATCGTGCAACCAGAGAAAATATCCTGTTCTAGAAAAAAATAATGTTAAATTAGAACAGCATTCTTATTACAAAAAAATAACTTCAAATGCAAACAGATTAACTCTGCATCCAGATCAGATGGAAAATAAAACTAAAATGGCAGAAAGTCTGCTATAAGGGAATACTGATTAAGTTTAAAAACAAAATAAAAACTTTCTAAGGTTTTTGCATTTTGACTGAAAATTAATCATCTTATATTTGTATTAATGCTTGTGTGTTTTGCGGGTTTAATATGATGGTTTTGTTAGGAGTGCATACATGCTTACTGCACTCAGCTAATCCTGGAAGATTAAGATTAAAAGGACATAACATAACACCAAAACATGGAATCCTCATGGAGGATTTGGAGAAGTTCATTGTAAACAGGCCAACAAACATAATGAGTTGATTTCATTATCTAAACAATAAGAATGTTTACAAAAGTCTTTTACACACTTTGTAGATCTGCTGTTTTTCCTCCATGTATCCAGTGTTTGGGGGTTTCTAATCATAGACAGACCTTTTTGGTTTGGGTTGGATCTTCGTGAGCTGCACATATGCAGCCCTTAATCAGATCCGGTTTTTAGCTTGTTTGCACATGCCTGAAAGATGATGTAATGAATATGACTCCATCCCTCTGTGGGTTTCCACTGCCAGAGCATCGCTGAGGCAGCGAGCTTCTGTCAGAGAAAACGCTTCACTCAAGGCAGCAAACTTTGATCAATTGAGGTTGAGGTGGGGTCAGGGTGACTGAAGTGTTTCAACTGTGTAGCAATCAGCTTGCTGTCATGTCTGTTAGTCACTAAACCAAGTCATCATTTTACACAATAAAAATACAAACCTAGATGGGAGAATCTGTGAGCAGACCACACACATTTTTGCTTATGTAAGCACAGTTCAAACTGCTCATTTACACTGCCTACACATGTGGAAAAATAGACCGAACAAAAGCCTCCCTCTCAGTCTATTGGACTTTTTTATGATCAGACAGGACTCTCATAAATAGGAGGCTGTATGTACGCTCAACTAAAAAAGTTGAAGCTTGACCAAGTTCCAAATGTGCAGTTTTTCACCCTTTAAGTGGAGCATAGCTTGCAGTTTAGGAGCAGCTGAAACAACCATGGCATCACAAAATTAACAGTTGCTGAGAAAAACTATTCTCTGGTGACAAAAAAGCAATTTTATCAACAAAAAAAGAGGGACAATCCACAGAGTTTGTATTTGCATTACATTTAGAAAGTGTTGAAAAGAAAAAATTAGACTAAAGTTGCGTATTAGAGAAATGCATTTTGTATATTAACCTCAGTGCTCTCATTTTGGAAGACTTCCAGACATGTCAAACTGTGAGGAGATCCTCATTGTGTTGGAGGGACTATTAAGTCCTTATCCAAATATAAGGATACAGGAAGAACTTTATTAGTAAATGTAGAGATTTATAAAGGAAACAGCCAAAATGGCATGTAAGCTGTGTTTCTTTGCAGCTGAATTTATAATTGAAAAGGCTCAATATAATAGAAAAGAGGTGTTCAGTCAGTGAGCCTATTTATTCTGGGAAAGCCAGATGTCAGACAGGGGCTCTAAAGATGAAGGCAGCACATGCTGTGCATGATGGATGGTATGAATTCCTCCCTGAAAATTGCAGTTAAATGGGTCCTTGCAGACAGAGCTTTAAAACTAATGAGCATTTTGATAGAAAAAGCTAACTATAGAGATAGAAATGCATGAAGAACTCCAGAAAATTCTGGGCCTCTATAAAAATACAGGTGCTGGTCATAAAATTAGAATATCATGAAAAAATAGATTGATTTCAGTAATTCCATTTAAAAAGTGAAACTTGTATATTATATTCATACATTACATACAAACTCATATATTTCAGATGTTTATTTTGTTTAATTTTGATGATTACAAATGACAACAAATGAAAATCTCAAATTCATCATATCAGAAAATTAGAATATTACTGAAGACCAATAAAAACAAAGGATTTATAGAAATGTTGGCCAACTGAAAAGTATGAACATGAAAAGTATGAGCATGTACAGCACAGTATTTAGTTGGGCCTCCTTTGGCCTGTATTACTGCAGCAATGCGGCGTGGCATGGAGTCGATCAGTCTGTGGCACTGCTCAGGTGTTATGATAGCCCAGGTTGCTCTAATAGTGGCTTTTAGCTCTTCTGAATTGTTGGGTCTGGTGTATTGCATCTTCTTCTTCACAATACCCCATAGATTTTCTATGGGGTTAAGGTCAGGAGAGTTTGCTGGCCAATTAAGAACAGGGATACCATGGTCCTTCAACCAGGTACTGGTAGCTTTGGCACTGTGTGCAGGTGCCAAGTCCTGTTGGAAAATGAAATCTGCATCTCCAAAAAGTTGGTCAGCTGCAGGAAGCATGAAGTGCTCTAAAACTTCCTGGTATGTGGCTGCGTTGACCCTGGACCTCAGAAAACACAATGGACCAACACCAGCAGATGACATGGCACCCCAAACCATCACTGACTGTGGAAACTTTACACTGGACTTCAAGCAACGTGGATGAAGTGCCTCTCTTCTTTTCCTCCAGACTCTGGGACCTTGATTTCCAAAGGAAATGCAAAATTTACTTTCATCAGAGAACATGACTTTGGACCACTCACCAGCAGTCCAGTCCTGTTTCTCTTTAGCCCAGGCAAGACGCTTCTGACGCTGTCTGTGGTTCAAGAGTGGCTTGACACAAGGAATGCGACAGCAGAAACCCATGTCTTTCATACGTCTGTGTGTGGTGGTTCTTGAAGCACTCACTCCAGCTGCAGTCCACTCTTTGTGAATCTCCCCCACATTTTTGAATGGGTTTTGTTTCACAATCCTCTCCAGGGTGCGGTTATCTCTCTTGCTTGTACACTTTTTTCGACCACATCTTTTCCTTCCCTTCGCCTCTCTATTAATGTGCTTGGACACTGAGCTCTGTGAACAGCCAGCCTCTTTAGCGATGACCTTTTGTGTCTTGCCCTCCTTGTGCAAGGTGTCGATGGTCGTCTTTTGGACAACTGTCAAGTCAGCAGTCTTCCCCATGATTGTGTAGCCTATAGAACTAGACTGAAAGACCATTTAAAGGCTTTTGCAGGTGGTTTGAGTTAATTAGCTGATTAGAGTGTGGCACCAGGGGCCATCAATTTTGAACCTTTTCACAATATTCTAATTTTCTGATATGATGAATTTGAGATTTTCATTTGTTGTCATTTGTAATCATCAAAATTAAACAAAATAAACATCTGAAATATATGAGTTTGTATGTAATGTATGAATATAATATACAAGTTTCACTTTTTAAATGGAATTACTGAAATCAATCTACTTTTTCATGATATTCTAATTTTATGACCAGCACCTGTAGTCACTTGCGCAACCTGCTGGATAAAATAAAGAGTTTCTTGACATATCCTGAAATTAAGCTGCTTGACTTTTCACGAAAACCTGAAGTAAACAATTTAAAATCTTTTACATTCTTTTTATTTTTTTCTATTGTTCTTAATGTTTTAGGTCCGTCATATTTATGTAAACTGCTTGTATTTTGTAACCTTAAAAAAACTGAAGGGTATAGCAGTGTGGATACTTTAAAGGAAATTGGAAACATATCCATTTGATTGAGTTTTAATCTGAGTTTATTAAGAGTTATTATCTTATATTTTTATTAATTTTTAATGCAATCTGAGATCTTTATCTTGTTTAATTGCAATTTTCCTTTTTGAATCTGATTTTGGCAGAAGCATAACTAAGGGTAAGTGTTTATCATTTTAAATTCCAATGTGTTTACCAATGTTCTACCTTTTTTTTTATTCTACTACTGCAGTTGAATGAGTATCATTTAATATTGTTATTGTACCCTACTCAA